CAAAGAAATTACGGAAAATAATACGGCACACGCCGTAACCGTATTAATTTGTTAAATGAATTCTACCGCCAACTATAACTACAGCATAAGATACAACATTTTAAACAGCATTGGACAATTACAATATAACGACCCTAGCGTCGTCCACAAAAAAATGGTAGCCAGACAGATCTGCCAGGTACATGTTATTATGTGATTCGAATTTGATTATGGACAATTCAATTTCGATCACTAACCAGAAAATGTCTTTAGCATATTTATGAATTGTTATTAAACAATAAAATATGGTCTCTAAGTTTTTCAAAAGAATTTTTTAATGAATAACATGAATCACTCAAAATTTTATTGTTTATACATTTTCTTTTAGTTATATTTGTAGGCAAATTCGATTTTTTTTACAAGCATTTGTTTTTTTTATTTCTATTTTAAACCAATAAGTTAATAATTTCAAAAGATGTGCTTCATTTAATACTATAAAAAGCGTTTATGAGACTAAACCAATAATCCAAAGTTTATAATGGATGGTAATTTATTTAAATATTTAAGATGTTAAAATAAATTATATTTATTTCATTATTGTTATTGTTTTTTGAACTTTAGATAAATTTTTTTGCAAGGTAATATTTTATAATTGTCGTATCAGGTTGTTCTTGATTATTCTTTTAACATAATAATTTGATTTAGTTTTAGTATTGTGAACATTTTTTTTACTTTGATTCCTTTTTCATTCAAAAAATCTTCATTATTTTGAATAATATGTCATCTTATGCAGGATTTGGGTTGTTGATCTGACATAGTAAAAGAATGACTTAACGTTATAAAAACTTATTTTTTTTTTTGTTGATTTAATGTGCTAATAATCAAAGAAAAAAAATTCAAATAAATATAAAATAGAATAAAACTATAAGCAAAATCCATAAAAATTTTAAGTAATAACAACATAGCAGTAATGATGGTAGAAGAAAAAACTTTTTTATTCATTTTGTATGGTAATGATAATGAATTTTACAAGTATACAGACTTTTTTTGATTTGTACAGTAATCAAAATTAACCAAAAACCAAATCCGAATCACATAGTCACATGTACCTGGAAGATCTGTCCGGCTACCATTTTTTGCGGGTGACGCTAGGGTCGTTATTACAATATCATAAAATCATATATGTTTATATGATATAAATCATATGCTATCAAACGATCAAAGACAATTACCTGAAGAATGGATATCTAGATGGATATCCCGAATTGAGCTGGTTGAAAGATGTGCCATACGAGGTCAGATCGTACGCGATCAGACAATACAAGTTTGCCTACAAACCAAAAACTCAGAAAAAGAAGGAAATTTCGCAAAAGACAGGAAGAAAGTTCATCATGCACTAACGAAAAAGAAAGATACTCAATCAATAATGATCCTTATCAGAGATTTTAGTCATGGTTAAAAAGTATCATCATATCGGAAGAAATACCGAAGTGCATACGGTTGCCATCTCAAAAAAATTGATGCAACGAATATTACATCTATGTGCCCATTCCGTTGGAAGAGCATGCCTTTCTGTGGAAGGATTGTAAGCATCGATCTGGGAGTAAGAACACCATTCACATGTTACGATACAAGAGGATTGGTTATCGAATGGGGTTTTAATTAGATCGTGAGGTTATTCAAAAAGTGTGATAGGTTCAGATCTGAAGTAACAAAAAAAGTCAGACGGCAATATAAACGAACCAGAAACCAATTAAGAAGAAAGATTTGAAAATGTTTCAAAAAATTCGAAATCTGTTTCCGAATTCATCAAAAGTTTACGTTATGGTTACTCGAGTGGGATGAAACCATTTTGCTACCTAGTTTTGACACTTCACAGATGATCAACAGAACGAAAAGAAAAATTTGATCCAAGGTGATGAGATCAATGCTCACCTGGCAAAATTACGAGCTCAAGCAATTTTTTGTTGCATAAATCTCACGAATATTTTTGACAAGAATGTGATTATATGTGAAGAGTCATATACTTCACAAACGTGTGGATGGTGTGAGTGGCGTAATAAGAATCTAAAGAAAAAGAAGATTTTTTCGTGTAAAGAATGCAAATTAACGTTGGATCGTGATTTTAACGGGGTTCACAACATCCTGTTGAAGTACCTATCCGAGTCAGATCTCCTTTTGGGGAACTTGGTCGTAGGGTAGTCATAGGGTGCATCACCCGAAGATCGACCATAGAATCCGATATTTGTTTATCAAATATTTATTATTGATTACTAATATTGGATTTTATTTCAAGGGTACAGTATAGTTAGCGTTAGCGTTAGTTGGAAATACTATAATAATTGAAAACATGTATAAAATAACTATATAAAAACTGATAAGAGTTACTAAATAAAACAAAATAATACTAATAAGTAACTGATAAGTAGTTAGTATGAAAATTTACGATTACTAACGCTAATGATTGCTAATTCAGTAATTAAATTATCACTTTCTTAAATTCAAAGATCACACAAAATCTCGTATATGATTTGAATCAAAAATTTATTTCAGTTTAAAAAATAAACCGAAAAAATTATACAGTATATTTTCGCTCATACAATACTTATTGATATTGATAATTCGATAAGGAAACTCATGAGTAGTATTATTATATTTAATACATGATGATGTAATTGAGAATTTGTCGTATAAACAAAAAGATTTATTTATCAGTTATAAAGTTGTTTTTATATATTTATTTAAGAATGAATTGAAATTATTTACAGTCACTGATAGAAATAGCTCATATACTACTTTATAATATATATATATGTATCAAGTCACACGTGTGGCGAGAATGCTAATAAAATACTTAACATAATAAGGAATGTATAAAGAAAAAATAAAGATAAATAAAGGAGTCAAATGATTGACAGATCATCTGATGAAAAATACCTCATGAAATTTGGCTTACCGACTTTGGTTGGATCTGTTGCTTTGGGACGTATTTGTACATGGTATGTACATATATGCGTGAGAAAATTCATCGGGCAGAAAATCTTTATTATTTTTTACACGCCCAGTAATGACAGAAAGTAATTAACTTAGTTTGTGTATATATATATAATTAATGATATATATTAATCATTTTGGACTCTAAGATCTAACGATTTTGTCCAAGGTCTAGTGTCAACTCATGTTATCAACTAATATTACATTTGTTAACGATGAAAATATGTATAAATTTCATTTACATTTAAGTATATTTCATTATTTATAAGTGATATTAATTGATGGCTTAACGTTAAGTCGATTACAAATAATTGATTAGGCTAATCAAATCTTATTGATTAATATATATATAGTATTCAAAATCTAGTATCTAACTCAAAAGTATCTAAACTTCTATTTAACGAATCTAACGCCGAATTTTTTTTTATACTTAATTGGTTCTTGACGAAGAAAGCATGTGCAAAATAAATGATATACGAGTACTGGCAAGGGAAGCTTTGAACTGGAAATTTAAGTATTTAAGTATATGATTTATTATTTGCTAGGCTAGTAAATTAATTACGTATCACGGATCATAGTTGTCAGCTAAGTCTAGCAAATAAATAATGTATTTAAATTGGCAATTTGAGAACACCAAGAATGATTTTCAATTTAATACATAAGTATGACGCAACTAAATTTTAAATTTGCATGTATCTGAATCCGATGCATGACATAGGGAAACATGCTAGAATTTCTCTTACAAAAGGCCAAATAAAAAAATAAAGGTACATAAAAAATTACATAATACTGCAATAAGGTATATTTGGTTAGAAATATAAAACTAATTTTGCAATCATCTAATTTTATTATTTATATATAGTATATATATATATATATATATATATATGTTGGCAGATTTTAAGCAAAAACCTTCAACCTTGAACAATTTTCTTTTGTTCAACAAGTTTCATATCACATTGATATGCCATATTATCCTCTCTATGAGACCAATGATCAGCATAAGGATCACATTTATAAGTTTCTCGAAGCTGAGCTCGTGCGTTACGTTTATGCTCAGTAGAAATATTGAGTCTTTCATCACGATTTTTAAGTGCATTTGGTGAAAGTTGATTATCTCCAGTGAAAGCCATCATGAGTTGGGGAGGACCTATATCAAATAAATTTTGTATTCACTTTCACGTGACATTGATGATAGGATAATGAATTTATTCAAAAACTTACCAAATGGTAAAGGATCACCTCGATCAACTTGCCAAAAATGCCATGTCTAAAAAAAGGATTTGAAATTACATAGTACAGAAAGTATCAGTCGTATCTTATTATTTAATTTTTATTTACCTTTCCGTAAGTATTGATCAAGTCTTCCATCACTTTTCCCTCTGCTTTATCAGCGACAGCCGTGGGAACCAAAGATCCGAAAGGACAGACTAAAATTCCGGATTTTACCTATAAAATACAACAATATTATATATGTCATATCGCCGTGAGAAGGATAAATGAGAAAATTTCGAACCTCATAAACATGAGAATGCCAATATTTCTTTTCTTCTTCAGGAAGTGCTAGTATTAAAGAATTAGAATCGAAATAGGATCAAAATAGAATCAAAATAGAATAGATTTAGTTATTCTAGATACAATCGAAATGTTTTTATTTATTGATAACATACAGTGAAAAAGTTTAGCTGAAATGATATATTCAACACCGATCAGCTTAGCATTAACATCATTGGAATCATAAATAACACATTGGCGAAAATCGTCATTAATATGACTGCAATAATGATGAGCTTCAACTTGTCGTGTCATGTCATGACTTGAAAAATAATTAAATAATAATCATATGAGTAATCAAATAATAATATGTAGTAATAATTAGATAATTAATGACAACATTAATTAACATTAATTATATTAGATAATTATGACAACATGAATACCTGTAAAAGTGAAATGCACAAACATGTTCATGTATCTTTTTACAAGGGTCAAAACTTTGAGCAACGTCGACTGCAGCACTGACTGCGCTTTGTGCAGTAGGTAATTTTTCACCAGGAGGACCTGGATGCTATTTATTTATAAGAAAAATCGTAAATCACATTTTCATCTATCTATGTAATCTATGTAAGTATAATGCAACATACAGGAGGGTTCGGGCAAGTTTCACTCATTTTTTTATGGAATCGAGAGAGTTGACTTTAGAAACGAAAAATAAAACCAACGAATGAGTCTTATATATTTGTAAGTAAAAAAGACAGATCACGTTAAAATTTTGTCATTATTATTGTCATTATTATGTAATTTCATAGAATATCATCATTAATTGATCAGTCAATGGTTTGTTTCTTTTCTGATAAAACACATTGAATTTACTTTAATGATAATTTCTTTGCCCAATCGAAAATTTTAATATATCAAATTTTATAACAAAAAACTATATCGATATTTAGTAATAATTACTGTATTATGCAATGATATTATTACCTAAATTTGAATCATTCCAAAATGTTTTTATGGTTTTTGGCATACCAATACCAATACATACGTATGTAAGTAAGAGCGTACGCACGTACGTACGTGCGTCAGTAAATAAAGTACGGATTAAAAATCATAGAAAACACGTGTTTTAAATTAAAGATTCTATTATAACCGGTAACGGTAATCACATCATAAAGTGTGAACCTCACTAAAATCATAATCGGGGTGTGTTACAAGAGATCTCGTGTAATGTGAAATTGTTTTACAATTCGGAATTTAATTCGGAATTTACAATTCAGAATTTCTTGGAAACTGTTTTAACAAAAAAAACCTTTAAAATTTTGGTGTAATGTATTGTAATACAAGGTCTAAAGCAAGTATTTTTTTATTTATTTATTTTTATTTACTTTTCCACGAAATTTTTAAGTGTCTCGCAAGCCATATTTTTTTTTGTCCAATACATGATACATGCATAAAATAGCGCCAACAATAATAATTATACATAACGATAATATATATCGATATATATAATTATATATAATTATAAACTTTAATAGTTACATATACAATAAATTTTGTCAATAACGATAATTAAATTTAAACATAAAAAGAAAGCCATACAAAAAGTATTATACATATTTGTTAAACTCTTGGATCGTAAGACCGGGAAAAACCGTCCTTTGTTACACAGAAGTTGAAGCCAAGTTTAATGTTACATGCTTATCAACCAATAAAATCACCAATTTAAAACAAAAAAAAAAAAAATCGAAAACCTAAAAATCAAGTTTTAATATCTCATCGCATATAGATTAAAGATTCGTTTTCTTCTTTTTAGGCCAATTAATTGTTTTATGTACTATCGTTACTAATAGTACGTACGTACCTATAGTACTCATCAGTTATAATACTATACTTATAGCAGTATAGTACGTACGTACTTAACATGCAACTCGAATGATCTTTTATAGTGTAACAATTATTATCGGTTTTGTATACCAATTTCGAACATCTGACACATCTGACCAATCAAATTCGGACATTTGACCAATCAAATTCAGACATAGTAGCAATCAAATTTGAACAGCGATATCTCATGATCTATTGATCAGAATGGCATGATTTTGGTACCATTCGCCTCGTCTGGTCCTGATGAATTGAATGGTACCAAAATCTTATCATTTTGATGTCCGAATTTGATTGGTCAGATATTCGATATATTAGTACGTAATATCATAAAAAAAGTCGTATAAACATACTTAAAAAAGAAATTATACATAATTAATTAATCGTTATTAATTTTTTTTCTTAACTGTTAAGACTTTTTAATGAGTGGAATTTTTCTGATTCGGTAAAATTTATTTGTAGTAGTGTTTTTATCATAATAGAAATTTTCAAGTGTCTTCTTAATAAACTTACCTATCACTATCGTTATGTTTAAATGATGGATAAATTACGTACGTATACGCATAAACTGTATACGTACGTAAAAGAAAAAAGATGAATTGTGTAACCAAAATTTCAAATATGGGATCGTCTCCCTATTAGAGTAGTTTATATAGATTACAGCCACAGTTCCGGTAAAGATTAATATATATTAAAATATAAAAAATGTTCACTTACTGTAAGGATACACAGCCACTGCCTTATTGATAAAAAACAATCTAACGTAAAAAGTCTTATGATGTGATTATATAATATCAGATTTAACAATGAACCTAACAATAAGGGAGAATTATCATAAAAAAAAAAAAATTCATGTATACAAAAACATTAAAAATTGATGTGCATATAAAAAGTTATTAAAATCGAACCAATTGCTTTACTTTAAAGTTTTCAATATATTTATTGTCTTATTGATTAATTGGTTAGTCTTACGCCTTATTTTTACATAATTAAGGAAAAAAAACATTATCATTGTGTTATGATGAAACAATGTATATCACAAGACTCACAAGACTGTATCGACATTGGAAAATTAAAAGTGGCATGATTCGATTATGACCACGGAAGTAATTCCGAATAAATGCAGGATGTGCGCCTTTCAATACAATCAGCCGTTAATAGATTATCCTGTTACACTTGTTTAAAGGTTGGATTTCCTTATCTTTATATAAAGGACTCTAGTTTTCTTACTTTTAACTTTAAAAAAATCTAGTTCTCTAGAATTATATAAATTGTCGTTAATGTTCCCTCCTCCCTCAAAATGCTTTTCCATTCTTTAATAAATCTTCGATGAATTCGCTATTAAATCCGCAATTTAATCTCTGCATAGATTATATATATCCGGATCAATCTTCCTCTATGGAATAATAAGGAGGTTATCGACAGATCGCCACCATGACTACTCGATTGAAATTCAGTCATCAACGGATGCCCTAAAATAATATTTGTGTTTTTTATTGGTGAAGTTATCATGATGCCGTCCTGTTTCGAACGTCCTGTTTCGAACGTCCTGTTTCGAACGTCCTGTTTCGAACGTCCTGTTTCGAAATTTCGATCAATTCTGAATCTTCTTCGGCGAAAGTTAGGATTTCATCGAATTCTTTACATAATTACCCGTAAAGAAATCTGCTAAATTTCTCTCGTAAAGAAAATCCAGTTCGTAAACTGGTATTCGTACTTTTTTTTTTTTTTTTTAGAAAAAAAAAAAATCGTTAGATAAAAAATCGTTATATTCTTATATTTAGGTAACTAATCTTGCTCCTTGTGAAAGATCGAGTTTTTTTTCCTTTTTTTTGAACCTTGTAAATCTATGACCCTATTATTATGTAATTAAGCTTATGTTCTCATCATATCACAATACATAAAAATAATTTGTTAAAAATATTAATTTTATAATACTATATATTCTGTATAATATGTAATAATAAATGCGAGCCTTAACCCTACTTTAGAACTTTTAAATGAATGCCTTTTGATTTTCAAATATAAGATATACCCCTCCCTCCCACATCCAAGGGTATATCCTATGTAAAATTTTTGTTTGGCGTTAGTATAGTATATAGTACCCGGGTACTAATGGATTTTTGTATCATATCCAGGGTACTATGGTCCGCGCTGTACATATATGTATGTATGTATATAATACTGGTACATACTTTAAACGCTTACCTAACTGGGTACACATTCGAAGTGATTCCTTTTTCTTATACTTGTACTAATACGTGATATAAAACTAAATATTGACTAAAACTAATATTGACTAACGGATTTATATCAATGTGTAACAGCTTCGTTCCCTCAAAGATTTGCATTGTTTTTATTTTTAAATTGTCCCCTGACTATCAAATATGATAATTTTTGATTACCATTCGATGATCAAATGTTAAATGTTATCTATGTTTTTTTAATGTGACCAATAAAAATATTATTGAATTTCAACGTAGAACACGAATAAGGATTTTTCATTTTTAGTTTAAGACGTTTCAATTTTAGTTAAGTTCGTTTAAAAAAAAATAAATTATGCATCATACTAAATAGGCTAAATATCTATGCGGTGGGAAAACTCCGACACGTGACAATATTAAATGTTCTCGTCGTATAAAGCCAATATTGATAAGAATACAAACCTTTTACCTATTCACTTTTACTTATTCACTCTTGCTTTTTACTTATTCGGTATAGCTGATATCAAATCATTTCTTGATTTTAAATTTTCTTTTACATACTTTCGCATCATATTCTCAATTACTTTCCTGTCAAAGACATATTCTGCATATACCCCAGTATATGCTTTAAATAATTACAAATTAAGTTCTTAACAGATCAAATTTAATATTTGATGAGAAATTGTAACTGCAATATTTGAAATAGGTTTTATTTATGTTTTATCAATTGATTATTATTTTTTTTTTTTATCCGTTCATTTACATCAATAAGTTCTAATAAAAAAAACCAAATCAGTCCCAACTAGATCCATAGAAGGTTGGTCCCATAAAAAATTGTTATCAGTTATGGTTAATTATCGGTTACCCGAGTAAATTATTATGTTTTCTGATAAAGATTGCAAATAAAATGTCGTCATCAAAAACGATATTTCTTTATATTGTGTAAAAAAAAAAAAAATAATAATAATAATCAATTTGTAATTTTATATTTTTAAGGTTAGTATGTGCATTCTTTGGCATTGAATCTAAAATGATGCAATTAAAATAATTAGAATTGTCAAATTATTACGTTTTTTTTTTTTATTCGATTACTATTTTATTTAAAAAATTTATATATACATATACTGTATATCTATATCTATATCTATATATTTATTTATTTATTTTATTTATTTATTTTATTTATTTCTTATTTTATTTATTTATTTTATTTATTTATTATTAAAATTTATTCAACATTACTTGTTAAATAGCTTTATATAAATTATTTTTTCAATTTAGTATTATTTTTTTAAGGATAGATTAAAAATTACACCACCACCACCACTTACACTACTTATGTATATATCGATATGTAAGTATTTTTAAGTACAGTATAATAATTTTTCTTTTTCAAGAATTTTATCATTATGCGCAGATATGTTATAACGCATAAGATCAGATATTAAACAGCAACGCGTTAATTATAAGATGCCACAAAAATTTTTCTCATTGAATTAATGATTGGCTGACATATGTCGCGACATATGTCGCGTAGTGGCACATTTCAGCCAATCATGTGCTTCAACAAACCAAATTTTGTAATA